AGCATCTTCAAAGCGAGGCCGCACAGTGAAAAAGCCGTAACCTTAGTATTTTCTCCTTGTTTTTTACATACCTAGGGCTAAACTTTCTGCTCATGTCGGAATTGTGTTATTTCAAAAGTGGGCACTCAAGTAAATCCGACTTAAATTTGGGTTATTTTTAGTTTCACTAAAAATGTCTTTAAGAGCATTAACTTAACAATTATTTCACAGACAACAGAAATATTTCTTTGATCCATATGTTTTGCTATAAGACCCTTAGGGATAGAGATAATAAAAAGTGAGTTTATATTTGGCTTAAAATATCCCTGACATTGTAATCAAAGTATTGAAAAGTGCCCAAAATAGGCTATAAAAAAAGCCTTCGGGGACCCCAAAAAGGGTAACATCTAGAACTCAGCCCAAATAAGAGCAATGGAGCTGAAACTTTGGCATATTGCATAAGTCTCCATAGTAACTAAGTGTACCAAATTTGAGCCAAATCGGCCGACCCCTATTTCCAAGCCTGCCCCGGTCTCTCAGGCAGAAGCTCTTAAATACTTATCCATTGGATAGTGATTTATCCGGTAGAAAGCGCTATCTAGCGTTTGAACAACCGGAACCTGGAGCGAGTGGGGCGGGAAGAACAGCCGCCCTGGGAGCTGATTTCTGGAGTGTTCTTGGTTTCTTTGTCCATATAACATCACATAAAAATATCGGACGTTGCGAAGAGAGGTTCAAACGCTCAAGAAGAACTTTTAATTTTCAAGCAATGTTTTGCCCTCAACTACGCGCAAATTTAATAAGCGTAAGTAAAGTAAGGCAATGTATGGAAGGTCGCGCGTAAACATCAAAGTCGAACCTTCGCTCAACTTTACCTTTACGCGCGGCCTGTCAAACATCACCTCTATTTTATTTACGCGCGAAGATTTACACGCGTACGCACGTAAAAATTACTTGACAGTGGAAATCCACCCTAAAGTAGACAGAAGATATGGAATTGGCTGTGGTTTTAATTTATGAAATGACCTCACAAGTAAAAATAAGATATGAGCAGTCCCTTATATCCTTTCCTCCCTCCTCCACCCTTGTTAATCAAGTCACTCTTCCCCGAAAATGTTTGATAACACGTTCAGGGTAGTCTTTGATGTGATGGGAGACCTGAATTTTCAGAAATTTAGACGTTTAATTTTTTCAGAATTATGGTATTTCCTGGACAGAAACAAGTAATGTTTGAAATCGATGTCTTGCCATACCAAGTACGCGGATTCCCAGAGGGAATCGCGTATTAAATGACAGAGTTCTTTCAGTTAGTTAAAATGATTATTATCAAAAGCACATGCACCTAGGTAAAATATATCGAAACCAACAGACTTGTTCTTCACTGGAGTTTTCACTTTTACGTTAGAATGAATTTTTTTAAGTATCAGCGTTTCAAGTTTCACAAGAATGCTTGCCAGTCATTAGCACGCTTTTCTCTGAAAAACCCTTCAGAAAAGTCCATTTGAGAGTGAGGCCGAACTCAGAGGGAATGGGCGCCGGCCAGGTGTAGCATGAAGGTGTCCTTAACTTAAATGATGTAACAGCCCGTAAGTAGTTAAGACGGAATCCACTAGGAAATTGAGTAATTTTAATTCTCAGTGGACAAAAACATTGTACCAGAATAATTTAAAGAATATTGCATTCTTTTTTACATTTTTTAAGGCCTAAAGATGTAATTAGTCATCTGTAATAACACCAAAGAAAATTTCTCAGGGGAGTCCGAGAAAATGAATGTCAAATTTCACAAGAATTGGGAAAACACAGGTAAATCTCTGTAAATTTTATGTGAAAGATGTAATTTTGTGAAATTTGACATTCACTTTCTCGAGCTCCCATAAGAAATTTTCTTTGGTATTATTACAGATGATTTATTACATCTTTAGGTCTTGAAAAATGTAGAAAAGAATGCAAAATTATTCTGGTACAAGATTATTGTCCACTGAAAATTAAAATTACTCAATTTCATGGCGGATTCGGTCTTAAGTTATCAACATGAGACTCTGCCTTTACAGTCAAATCCCGCTTTGCAGACACCCGCCTTACAAGGGCACCACGCTATTACCGACAGTTTATTTTGTCCCTGGGGAAAGAAAGGCCTTTACATTTCTCTTAATTCAACCCGCTTAATACGAACACCCCGTTACCACGGACACTTTTTATGGCCCCCTCAGTGTCTTATTAATGACTTTGACTGTACTTATTTAGAGTGGTTTTCGTTTGAGTGTCGTAAAACCAAAACCAAAGTAATTACTCTGGCCAATCACATAGGACACAGACAATACATTGAACCAATCAAAACTCGAAGTATTTGGCTTTGGTTTTACTTCTGATTGGATGAAAAGGTGGCGCGAATCTTTTAAGCCAATCGCATCGTGTAGAAAGTGCAAAACCAATTACTTTTCGACACTCAAATGAAAACCGCTCTAAGGCCCAGTGGACTACCGTTCAATGACTTTTTTCAGTCTAAGCGAAGACGCAAAGGCACCGAGAACCTAAAAAATGCAATCGGTTTAAAGGAGCTGCGTCACTAATTTTATAAAAATTCTAACAGTGGGAACTGCCACCAAATAGAGTGAAACATAAAAATAACCGCTCAAAACGTAAAATCAAGGAATAAATAACAGCAAATTCATCGCACTTATTCCATCTCGTTCAATTCGTCAAATGCTGTAGTTGAATTCTAAAAGACTTTAACAAAGTTCAAGAAAAGAAAAGCAAAGTCGTCGTTTTGTGTTCACGTTCTCCACAATACGTGAAATTCTACATTTTCAAGTGGTCGCAGTCATGCAGTGACGGCAAAGAAATGTACAAAAAAGGGTGATGTGCATGCAGAGTTGTCTAACCAATCTAACCCTACTGCTGTTTTGCCGTTCTCGTTGACGTCGCCGTTGTCGTTGCTCAAGCTCCCTATTGACAAAATGAGCCAGACAGGCGTGACATCACAGCCCCTTAAAAGAGCAAAACAATAACTTTGCACCTGCGTTGCACCTTTAAGGAAACTTGCCGTCACTGGACGTGAGCACACGACGACGAATCTCTGTCCTCTTACTAGATTACTGAGTAGCGCTTCCCATGAATTCAGCTTCAAGCAATTTCACCCATATAAATGAGGCATTTTAAGCGAGTTGGAATAACCGCGACCACGTTTGAAAAGATGAATTCATTTTAATAATGACGCCTTTTTTCGCTGCCGTCGATTCTTGGAAGTAATTTCCCGGTAAGTGATCACTAAAGCAACTTCCTCAGGCTCTTCAGATGTTGCCAAACTGAACAACCAACTTCTTGTTACAATGTAAGGCTCCTCATAAAATTATCAAAACTTTGCTAAAATTTAGCGCTGACTCGGACGCGCAATCAGTTTTTATGTGCTTCTCAGTTCAGATAAGCACAAGAACATTTAGAAGTCTTTTCATATCATCCGTAGATGGCTTTTATACACGGCTATGTTTGCTACTCATAAAATTCCCCACGCTTCTTCAAACGCTGTGCATATTTTGGAGCACGTTAACGCTCCTGATAAAGGGTACTGACTGATCGCTACGGTTTCTTCTACGTAAGGAACATCAATCTGAAAAAGGAAAAATATTATGAATGACATCATATTGTATCAATCGACTCACGAGAGTACAAAAATTGTTTCACACTAAACAAACAGCACATATAAATTGAGTCCTCCAAACTATTTAACAGTTGTGACAGATGAAAGTAAGAATTTCGAGCCTGTTGGGGGGTTTGAACATTAGAATGTTGTAATAAATGCAAGAACACACCGAAAGACTGCAAAGCCTTCCTCCAGTTCCACTGAGAATTTGAAGTCACTAAGAAGTACTTTACCAACAAAAATATTGTATGTCATTGCATAAATCTCTTAACGGATCTACGTCACGGCCTGAGAAAATGCGAGATTTCAGTCTGTCTGTTGCGATTTCTAGAGTTACTTTTGGCTGATCTTATTACAGAAAGAAGCCAATTAAAGGCGCCTATTGTTACCTCATTAGTGCCTATAGTTAGTGTTAATATGAAAGACCATGCCTCCCCCCCCCAAGGGTACCAGCGAAGATGAAAGGCCTGCCCATGATGCTTAGCAGTATTACAAGATATGGCTTTGGGTAATTTACCCATACCCATACACCAGAAATGTTAAATTCTGAAGTCTCTATTTTATAGTAATAAAGAAAAATAATGGGTACAACAGATAAGTTAAATACAGTCAAAGCTCTCCTTGTGACCACTCTCATAAGTGATCAGCTCTAGTTATGACCACTTTTGTGAAACCCCATTTGAGCTGTGATCTTGAGCTCTCGTAAGCGACCATGACCACTTTTGGGATTACCCAACTGGACTTTTCGATCCAAGCTCTTGTATACAACCACACAGAGCCTTATTCATATAAATCAACACTTCAATATGACACTGCACCATGCGCTAATGGTTTGCACAGAGAAGTTTTGTTTTTTTTCAAAAAAATAATCAAGGTCATTTCCCTAGCGCAACTTAGCCTACATGGCAATGACCACTCACTTCAGTCAACATGAAAACATTCATTTCTTTTGTTTTTTCTTCATGAATTATTAATGAGTTTCTGAAGTTCTTGTAAGTGACCAGCTCTATTGACAACCACTTTTTTGCATTTATGAGGTGGTTGCTTGCGAGAGCTTGAACTGTAATATGTCAAAGAAACTGTTAAACATTAATGAAGTGAAAAAGCACACCATGTGCTTAGCAGACAAAATTGTGGCTTTTCAACTGTTTCACCCAAAAAGGACTTTGCAAGACAATTGCTGAAAAATAAAGAGACTTACTGAGCCATGAGCCATAGCCCCAACAACAAAGACAATGGGCTCATCCTTTGGAATAACGTCCTTCAATTTTACGAGGTTGTCAGAATGGAATGAAGTCCCTGAAAGCAAATAAGTAACAGAGTTAATGTTCAGTGTTACTTTTGATTTGTTGAAAAGAAGCACAACTTACAATTTTCAGACAGCTGCAAAGCAAGGCATTCAAATCTAAGGCAATCACGTTGAAAAAACCTTTCTACAGTGGTTTGACCATGGGCCTAAAAAGTTGAATATACATCTTTTATGTAGAATTTTAATAGAAATGTAAAAATATGATTTGGCTATTACAACGTATGTGTTGGAGGATGGAGGGGGAGCTAGAAATCAAAGGCCTAAGATAAGATCTGATAAGAAATAATACAGTTGCATATGCTGAGAAACAATTAAGTGAATGGTCCCACAGAAACTCATGTGCTTTGTGAAACGAGGAAAATCAGCCAGCCTTCTATCCAAGCAGGAAGAATTACCTTGATCATAATCACTTATTTCTAGGACTGTTTCCAGGTGCAGCATTCATGTCACAAGTCAAACTACATGTATCATAAGTTAACTTTGACAGTTTACTCTGTAACTAGCCAGAGGGACCTACCAACTTTCTTGCAGCCTGTTGGTAAATGATCTGTCACTGGATTCTTAATAACCTGAACAACAAAGAATAATCAACAAGTCAGGTGCTATCTGTGCCTTCTACACAACAAAGGAATTTCATGGATCGTAATTTGTTGCAACCACTCACTAGATAGCCTGCGAATGCAAACGTTTTCCAGTCATTCCTTATCTTCAACCAAAAGTTACTTTTCACTAGCCTTTTACAATGAAAGTTTTCTTAACTAAAAGACGTTATTTTGTCATACCTTTAGTAGCTTTTGGGGTCCATCTGCAGCATGGATGCTAAGCTTATGCAGCAACTGAACTTGAAATAACAGAACAGGGACAAATGTCAATAATCTATGAAATTTAGACCAACTTAAGAACATACAACAAGCCACCAACACCAAGTTTCATGAAACAAGTTTTAAAATTTTTTAACAATGAGGAAACACAACAAAAATTACACCAATAAAAAGTGATATTTCTTGACAGTTACAAGTAAGATGATCATTCAAATTTAATACAAAAGATACCTAGCCTACGCCATAAAACGGCAAATAATATTGACATTACTAAATACTAATACTACGAGTACTACTACTACTACTACTACTAATAATCAAAATGCAGCCTTACCCATCAGCCCACAAAACCGATCAAATGTTCGTGGAATTCTTGTGTGAGGGTTTATTTCTATTAGCACATTTTTCTCAGTATGAATGTAGACTTGCAAAAGCCCTGCTTTATTCAGTGGACTGTCCATTAACATAAGCAGACACTGCAAAAAGAGAGAATGTCAGTTTTGATCCCTGGACCAACATACACTAGCCTCCCATGGAATCTCTGCTTGAGTGAAGAGATAAGAGAATGTCTGCACGGGAGGCTAAACATGCATGCTTGTATAGGCTAATATAAAACAATGGGACAAGGAAAATACATGTACACATACGTTAAAATGAAGAAAGATGGTGTTTTTTAAGCTCAGTATACGAGTGTTAAAGATGTCATATTGTCTGAGAGCATGTCATGCAATCTCTCATCAAGAAATTCCTTGATGACATTCAGCAAGTCACAAGCATGGGACAGGAGTCTCTGACAGGATTCAAGCCAATGACCAGCTATTGTAAACCCAGTGAAGCAAACCTTCACAATGAGGTTGGTTAACTCCCTTGCTGTCATTCTGTCAAACAACGTGCTGCACCGTGTATCAACAACAACAACTGCAGCAGAGCTCAGTCTGCCTGGTAAGAAAGATTTGGATAGAAACATGAAATGTCCCAAACTGATGAGAATTTGTAGATGTACTGCATTAGTTACTGCTACAAGGAAATGGGTATTGTTTACTAGTTATGACCACAACTAACTTCTGTGGTAGGTTTGATCTAGATAAATGGATTCAAGTTGTAAGATCATTGTAAGCACACCATATGTAACACAGGTGTACTGTGAAAACAGGTCTTTTAACTATAGTCCACGGAGACTAGATTAATAGGATACCCCATATTTATTCCAATCGGTCAGTGTAAAACGCAGACTGCGGACTGCAGACTGCAGACTGCGGACCAGGGGTAAAATGCAGACTGAGTGTAAAATGCAGACTGCAGACTAAGAGTAAAACGCAGACTGGGGTAAAATGCAGAATAAAGACTGTAGACTTTTTTAAACATTTGTGCTCCTTCTTCTTCAAATCGGTGAAATAGCTAGCCGGTATCAGTTACACACTTCGCTTCCTAGTCGAAGTGAATTGCACATTCGCCAGAAGTTTCAATGAACATCCAAACAGCTTAAGTCTGCGTACCTTGATTTGCAATACTTTCATAGAAGGTCATCCAAATTTCCTGCAGAACAACTTTCTTTGTTGTTGGAATGACTTACTCCCGTTTTTATCGCCATAATTCCTGTACAGTATTTTGGGTCAGCAGCTTTCATTTAAGCGTAAACACCGTGGTGTTGTACCAGTTCATGGTCCCTGGTCACATATATCGAAAACTTCGCACCAAAAATTGAAGCGTGAAGTCTCTCGGATGGAAAAAAAGGTTCAAGATTGCGATTATGTTTTCGGGTCGTCGACGACGTTCCAGAGAAGAAAGGAATGGATTTGTGAAAGCAGATGTCATCAAGTAAGTGTTCGTTTACAGATGATTTGCGGGATTTTTTTGCCCTTAAACCCTTGCACGACTACAGTTTATGCTCGGTCTGCATTTTACCCCAGTCTGCGTTTTACTCTTAGTCTGCAGTCTGCATTTTACACTCAGTCTGCATTTTACCCCTGGTCCGCAGTCTGCAGTCTGCAGTCCGCAGTCTGCGTTTTACACTGACCGTTATTCCAATACCTGCTCCCTTCCTATGGATGGGTATAAGCGGATTCCTACGAGTTTAATATCTGCCGAGTTCAAAAGGACCACAGAAAATGAGGGAATGGGGGGAGTATGGAAAGGTTTTTTGCAAAGGGTTACGTCAAAAAGGTTAGGTGCTTGGCGGGCGGGGGTGGGGGTTCGGAATAAACGTGGTAAAACTTTCGAATATTTACAATCGGCCCACCTGGTGTGCGATATCTGGACGAGCAGATGCAGGGTCTTTTTTGTTCTTCTTCATAATTGTTTTGTGTCTGTCACAGTTTAGTAACTCGAAATTTTTTCCATTCTAAAATAAAGGAAGAGTAAGCATACGTGAAAACATCACCGTGAATGAAATCAACACTTTCACATCCTTGCAAAAACAGACAACTTGTGCCCTGTATTTAATCTACAGGTCAGATTTTCTCCTACCTTAACTGCCTCTAGGGAAGCTTTCTCAAGAATCACGATAAGTCGCTTTCCAGAATCCTTTTCTTTTAACGTTCTCGGTACTTTGCGAGGTCGCTCGAACTCGTTTTCTCCGTCCGCCATCTTGATCTGCACGTGTTACAACAGAAGGTTTGGTTACAACGTCAAGGGGGCGAAACAAGTGTAAGTACTTCATGTCAAGCCATCATATAGTTGTCCATATATATTGACTACATCCTTACTTGCAAGAAAGAAAATGAAGTTGATAGCCTGAATTTCATCCGATTACTTCGAGTCGTTTTCTCCTCTCATGCCAGAAACTGTACGTTACTGAGGGAGCAATAACGACTCGAAGTAATCGGATGAAATTCAGGCTATGAAATTGACTCTTTAAAAAGCTAACCTATGATAGATGCTAGAAGAACTAAAGCTACACCTTTGAGTGGTTTAAAAAACAATGGAATTTGTCTTTGAACATTTGTTTTGACGAAATAGCATTAAATCTCAATTCCAGACGCCAAAATATCGAGAAAAAGACCTTCATGATAAGCCTCCTGTCTTTGCAGACGTTTTTGGGAGTCGATCGTATTCCGGATTTACATGTACTAAAATCTGGATTCCGGAATCTGGGAAATTTTTTGTTTGTGGAATCCGGAATCAAGGAATATTTTGGTTGTGAAATCTGGAATCCTAAGCTTTGAAATCCAGAATACAGAATACAGCTCAAGGAATCTGGAATTCCACAAAGGATTGGAATCCAGAGCCCAAGTTCCACCGACAAAGACTGGAATCCGATATCTGGAATCCGGAATCCATTGTGTGGAATCCAGAATCCAATACTGTCTTGGATTCCCTTACAGGGTGGGGCGAATTGTATTTGAGAAAATGCCTGACTACCACAAAAACTCTGGATCGTTGTACGTTTCTGAAAAACTGCCCACCTACCCCTCCCCTAAGCCAGTATTAAGACTTATCACTTAGGGCAAAATGTTGGCTTCGGGGAGGGGCAGGTAGACAGTTTCGCAGAAACGTATATCTATGATGATCCAAAATTCTTAGAATCGTTTAGTGACTGTTATTCTTTTTATCAGCTGTCGAGCAAAAAAATGCTAAATATTGGTAAATTGCTTTGTTGTTTACATTTATATTCGATGCAATAGAGAAAATAAACGTCGTTAAGACTTGGTTTTAAAAATTGCCGAAAATTCTTTGATGCATGCCCCGTGATATTTTATATTTTCTTATTCAAATCAGAGACACCATGGCAATGCAATATTCTTAGAAAAGAATCATGTTTAAATTTTTTTTAAAGCTAAATGTAACTCATATAGAAACGTTTTTTTTATTTTCCTTTGAACAAACCCTAAATAACAAGTCAGGTTGCGTTGAAAACTTCTAACTCTGTTTGAACGAGTTATTAATTTCAATTTCTCATCAGCTTTCCATTATAAGATACCCCCCGCATTTTCTACCATAACATGCACTAAAGTTAATTAAGGGTCCGTTGCAGTGTTTCTCAGTTAGCTATAACACAGTGCTGCTCTTCGACTTTAGTTTTTGAAGATTTTTATGCGAGTCATGACTTTTATAGTAGATATATTTCGTTCTTTAAGTTTTTCAATCCTTACATTTCAGTTAATAGAGATGTAGGTTACCACTGGCGACGGCAATAAACATCACTGTTGCTTAATTCGTTATTTCGCGAATATATTACTTGGCAAGTCATAATGAGACTTAAATCCAATATTTAAGAATAGTCTATACTATTACATAAAGCTATCGCAGCAAGGGGTATAAAAGCAGAAAAAAAGACAAAAGTTGAAATAATAAATTATTTAGTTCGCAGGTGGAAGGTAGCGGCATGGCTTTTCAAGTTAGTCCGCCTTGGAAACCCTTTTACCTGGAGGTTTGAAAATGAAGATGAACTATCTTCAAGTGTTAATCAAGATTATTTTTATATCCTTGTTTTCCATTGCTTCCTGTGTTGCCTTGTAAGTATCGTTAAAAATTCAGTTTTAACAACTCTCTAACTATAACATAAGAACTTGTTTTTAATATTGCGCGTTTTATGCACGGAACAGTTGATCTTTGCAGACAAAGAAAGAAGACGAGATCTTCATAAGCTCGAAGCCTCCACATATTTTAAGATAAATCGATCCAGACCTTTTCACTATGTGATATCTGATGGAATTATATCAATTTAAGTCCAAACCTTTCGCGTGTTTAACAGCTGCAGCTTTAAACTGAATTCATCAATGGACCGTACTACGATTACAGTAATATTTCTTTTGGGTGCACTGCTCCACAGCCCAAAAACGTCTTTTTTGGATAAAAATTGTCAAGATACTGGGCAAAATCACTTACTAAAATAGTTATAACATTCTAACCTATGTATATACCTTTTTTAAGCCCAAACAGCTACGGTACGTAAATCAAAAACAGGGAATGCTTGATATAGATTATGTATGTGACGGCGGCGGCATTCCCAGGTGCCTAATACACAGACCACCGATTTTAAGCTGAGCATTCCTCTCCGTACGAACTGTTTTTTGAATAATGATCAAAAGTCAACGAGTCTCGATGAATGTCGGCTTTTGCGACGGTTGTTGAATGGTTGTATAGAAAGAATAGCGTAGATAGTTTATTTCAATTTTCTGTTTCCTGACGAAAAAAACTGTTCTGATCAACCGTTTTAAACAGTAGCAGACTGGTATTAATATTCATGGACTGCTTTTCGTTAAGAACCTTTGTCTTGGGCACTAAAGTGCTGAAGCGTTGCCCAACTTTACACAACGTCAACCACGGTGTTTTGCAGTTAAATGTTTTTTCCACTAGAAGTTTCTTAATCATATGGCTTTTCCTCCTCAGACAAAGAAGTGACAATAAGACATTTATTGAAGAAAAAGAATGGGGTGGTGATATGGAAAAAAGAGATAATGGAACGGCATCTTTAGAAGATAAAGAGCACCTAGATAATAGGACGGACAGTAGCGATAATGCAACATCTATTCACGACAAAGAATGCCTAGGAGATGCACAAAACTGCAGCAATACTACAGCTCCTGTGAAAGAGCGCATCAGCAATGCAACAAAAGACAGAGAATGGATTCAGAATTCTACCAACATCTTTAGAAAGATGATGGAAAACTACGATCCCTCTATTGCTCCCTACGTGCCAGGTTTGTGACATTTCATTCAACCCTCATCTACTTGTAGCATCACTTTTCAGACTTTTAACATTTATAAAGTATTGTAGTCAAAGTAGATGTGGCTTAAATATATTTAGCAGGATATATATAACAGGATGCTTTGTAACATGTTCGGAGTTCCCAAGTCTTTGAAGCATCGGTATCTTGGAAAATCAATTCTGTCGTGGTTTCGATTCGAAGCATTGTTGTGGTATAGAGGGGCTGATGGCAATATCATATCATCGCTGGCTGCATGATGATTAATGAGCCCCTTACTTAATTGAAATTGGATTTAGACTAAAACAGAGTTCCAGCTGACATATTAGGGCCATTTATACGAGGAAAAATAAGACGCGTCTTAAATAAGACGCGAACTGTACCATTTATACGAGATTAATAAGACGCGGCTTAGCTAAGACGTCTTAGCTAAGACGAGAAAAACTTCGTATAAATGACCTTCGCGTCTTAAATAAGACGCGAACGCATAGTACGCATGCGTTAATTTTTGGCGCGCCACGTTGGATTGCCGTTGCTACAAGCAACATTCACATGAAAACGAGTCAAGAACAGAAATAAGACGCGAACCATTTATCCCAGCTGTTCTCGTCTTAGATAAGACGTGCCGTTTATACGGAAAGTTCGCGTCTTATTTTTCCTCGTATAAATGGCCCTATTGTGTTGGTAATCGTATAGGAATTTGTCTTAAAACTTGATTAATTGCTGTGTAAAAAAATTTCACCAAAAGTGAATGTGCCTAAAATTATCAAATATAATCTAGTCCAAAAAAACGTTAAGTCTGTAAAAAAGATCAGGTTTCCTGAATTGATATAACTACTTGTTTTTCATCAAAGACCTTTAATGGTCACATGCCCAGGGGGGATTGAAGTGTAACCCTGCTGGGAGATCAGCTGTTCCATCTTGGCTTCATGATGGTCTCCTCTGTTTTATTTCTGTATCCTCTGCTATTTTATATGTGATCCTCTATTACAAAACTACGAGTTTATACGGGTTCAGTGACGCAATGTGTTGCAATGTACGTGTCTAGCAGTGTTCGTGGAAGCCTGAAGGTGCGCAAGCATTATGGGAGTTTTTGGGAAGAGGGTGGGGGGTGGGCAAAGACTAGGAATTGCATGGCAATGTTTTCGCTTTAACCGTGTATAACTCCTAGGAATTTGTTTATAAATAAGTTATAGAATTCTCTTTTCAATAGGGAATGTTTTGAAAGACCTTTCGTTTTATATAAGAAGCAACTGGGGCTTAGAGTCTATCTCTGCGTTGTATGTGTTTTTCCATGGTGGCTTGAAATCAGTGAATGGGTAGTATAACTAAACATCAGAATAAATTGTAACTCTCTTTTACTTTCGTGTTTGCAGAATATAATGTATAGCATTGTGGTCTCCCAGATCTTGCCTTTCGCTTTCCCTAAACAATCCCACAAGTGCTTGCATGTGTACTTTTCGATACTATCGACCCAGGCCTTCATAAAGCAAGCTTAGTTTGTGTGGCCAGTTTGTTGAGTTTTCCCCTGTGCATAGAGTTTTCCAAGGCAGACGAGGGCCTTAGTTGCTCGGACACTTCAATAACTTCTTAGGCTAGAGCTGGGATCATTTCTGGTGTGGTACATCACTTAAAGATTCAAAATGGCATGTTTAGGGATTTTAGACTTAAAAGTCTAAAAGTTGCTCCAGTAGTCTATAAATAATATGCCACTAAGATGTATTTCTCATGATCAATGCACAACAGACATCGCCTCCATCGAAAATTGTGTAGCAGTGAAGATTTTCTTATTGCCCTTTCAGCAATTATATGTCACTTTTCAGGATCTCGGTACCTTTAGATTTAAAATTTTCTACATTTGTTCACTTTAGTTCTCTTTATTTAAATGTACATCTTTAGGTAAACCAGTTAAAGTGAATATTGTTTTTGAGATTCTTGCTTTTGGAGAAGTCGACGAGGCAAACATGGTAAGAACTGAATGGAAACATATGCTAGAAATATAAGATCCGTTGTAGCTGAAAAGGGTGTCGATTAATAGCATTGTACGTACCCTTGCACCAAAAGCCTGGTAAGCCTGGTAAGCCTTGTATACCCTTGTTGAACCAGTCAAGTCTAGTTATTCCTTAACCCATTTGGTTGGTGCTGATCGCACACCAGATTCTGGGATATTAGAAGGGGGAAAAAACATTAAAAGATACTATAAAACAGGTATTTTAAGAAAGATGTTAAAATTTATTATAGCTCCGCAGTACTGGGGATATAGAAAATCTGCACAACTCTTTTTTGCAATGCTGAGAAAAAGTTTAACTTTGTTCAGATTTTAATCAACCTTCAAAAAAGTAGAAATTTGAACTGAAAACGACTGGCCTTAAGTTTTTCATCTTCTGGGGGTAATTGTTTCCTTCGTCCTTGCGTAATTTAACTAAAGTTTCTTTTCACAAGTGAGATCACTGTTAGGAGTAACAATATTATAACATCTCATTCATACTGAAAATGACACTGATATGACTTCAACTTACTGTCCAATGAAAGTATCCCTGTCAAGGTCGTATATCAACTCCTATCTGTTATCGTTTTAAAGAGCTAAAACTTAATTCTTCATATCAATTTAATTCCAAACAAGAAGGCCAGTTTTGTTATCTAAGATTATAGGCATTGAAACTGTTTCCTGTCCTTTGATCCAACGGATGGTAAAGATGTATTGAAACTTGAAAACGTGGGGTCAACTTTTTCAAGATTTAATGCTAATTATATAGCCAAACAGTTATCATGGTTAGTGCTCCCAGATGAAATCTACATGATTTTTTCTTCTTTTTGTGTATGAGTAAAGACATTAAGTAATGATTTCAGCACAGAATTAACCTAAAACAGTAATATTACCGTGACTAATAGCTCCTTTAATTGATCGATTCCTTCCTTGTAGGAATACGGCTTGGACTTAGTTATCATCCAGTGGTGGAGGGACATAAGGCTGGCTCAAGGCCAGGACAGAACCTTCTCATTTAGTGGTAACGACATAAAAAAGATATGGACACCAGACACTATCTTCTTGAATGCCAAGCAATCTGAGATTAAGAACGTGAGTTATATTCTATGTTGACAATTCAGAACTCTTGAATCACAAATAATTACGTTAAAGAAAGTTAACCAGAGATTTACCAGTATTATATTCAGTTATATTCAGTTATATAATTCGACCCAATCTTATTATTATGCCAAATTTCGTATCAAGGTATATCCAGTAACTGTAAATCCTGCATTAGTCATCAACACTTGATCCAATTTTCTGGACCTTACAGTAGAGCTTACTCTATGAGTGTTCCAGACCTTTTGGCGAAGCGTGAAAAGAAATAAAATTTTACAATAACTGAGCGAATCCTCGTGCGCTGATTGGTCGACAGCTTTGGCCTATGAGAGTATAGACCATGGAAATGAGGTAACATGTCACGCAATGCCGGTTGCTTTGTTTTTGGTTTTTCGTAAAAAAAATAATTGTTATTGCAGTGAAACCACTCGCCTGCGGCTCCACTTGAGTTTTGAACATTTTATGACGTCACTTCTATGGTCTATAAGAATGTTGACCATGGAAAATTGTGGTCGATTTGTTAAATAAATAAACACCAAACACCGGAGCTGAGTTATTAATATCCAGGTTGACTACAGTGCTCTTACTTATTCTTCTTCGAAGCAGTCAATCATGTAGTTTTCCAGAAAGATGACTTACATGTAATAGTGACACTAGCTCAACTTTTTCTCTCAAGGTTATGAAAGACAACCAGATGGTATTCGTTTTGCCTAACGGCCATGTTACTCACATGTCAAGGTAAGAATTTTCTCTAATCGCTTTCTTCGGATTTTCCCCTGAGACAACGAGCAACATTTATCGCCTTTCTTAAAAATTCTGTCGAATTAGAGTTTGACAGCTAACCTTTCCCTCAGCTAAGAGGGCTTTCCATATGTCGGGAAAACCCAAGAAACGAGGATTTTGAACATTCTTACAAAGCGGCTCAGCGTTTACTGAGTTGAGAAGATATGCTAACTTAAATTGTGACGAAGGGGACTGGAGCAGAGCAAATTTCCTGGGTGTGATCTGGTTAAAGACAGTCCAAATAAAACCAAGTCGTATTTGCTTCATTTGTTTTCATGAAGACAATATTCTGACCTATTTTCTCATGCCTCTAATTTAAATTTGCAGGTCCTTGCAAGACGACCCCATAATCTCTTTTCGTGTTCAATTTCCCTTTCGTTTCTGAATTCAACTGATCATTGACGTTTATCAGTCGGCTTAGGCCTTTTCTGCTTTGTTTCTTTTTTTAGGATTGCATTAAAAGTTGCCTGCCATATGCAGCTGCAGATGTACCCACTTGACAGACAAAAGTGTGATTTGGTGATAGAGAGCTGTGAGTTGTCGACTTTGATATTCCTAGCCGATTTTCTGTGCAATCCTTTTATTATAGTTATGGATCATTATCCTTCCTGCGGCTGAAACTGTTTTCAGAGGGCATTTGCAGTTGTATTTGTTCTTATTTCTTTGTTGATATAGTATCATAGGCGGTTCGTGTATTGTATGTATTGTAAAATGCATTGTAACATGTATTGTAAAACTAAGCTGTTGATCCATTTTAGCTGAGAACAAAAAATTTTCAGCAATTTCAAGCAATAGTAAGTTACAGCTGTAACCCAAACCGTTGAAAGGTTCAAATACAGTCTGCCGTTAACCTGTCCCGTCAGTTTGATTCAGCTCGTATGGTATATTCTTTAAGATGCGCTGTTAAGTACCCCAAAAAATACTAGGGCGGAACTCTGTATAAATACATTTAGTATATACTAAAACAGTGGATAGTGTTTTTCGAGCGCTCTGATTGGCTACCCAATCAGTGAATATCCTGCACTATTCACTGATTCACCTCCAGTTCCTCCGAGCGAGCAACGCCAAACTCGCGTAAGTTGCGAGCAAAATGCCTTCCCGGTTTTCTGCCGTAAACAAACAAACAAATTTCACAACTAATCAAGCAAGCTGTTTCCGAAATACACGAAGAAGGTGACGAAGTTCGGATTGGAAGTTTTAACAGGTAAAGCTTTGTCTTTTTGACACTAATTTATCGATAAAACTGGTGAAAAAGTTTTTGTTTACAAATGCAAATTAAGTTTAAGTCTTGCTTACTTTATTTAGTTGAGTTGTTCATAAATAAGCTTCAAACTAAATTTAATAATCTTTTTTTATAGAATGATTTTAAATACAGAAAGAATTCACAACTCCTTTTGAAGAAATTTCCCCGCAAGAGCTAAACAAATGCCTTGAAAAGTTTTAATTGTCGGCAAGAATAAAGCGACGGCCGCAGCCGCCCGGTCATTACGCGCCAAAATTGTAATCTTTGGCAACAGTATTTGAGTTAAAAATCATCATTTTTGTGCTCAATGATCTCACTGTTTTAGTATATACTAAAACAATTATTCACCTCAGTGTCGGTGGCTAGTCGTGGATATTTACCTCACTGCTTCGCAGTTCGGTAAATATCCAGGACTAGCCACCTCCACTTCGGTGAATAATTGTTATATACTAAATACATATACTATATGTTTTGGCGTCTCGAACTGTGTGGCTCCGGTGTTATTAGATGTTGGGGGCTCAATTGAGGAAAAAAGAATATCCATTTTATCAACAGAACAAATCAGTGAACAAAAGCAAAGCTAACAAAATGGAGCAAATTCTCATGGAATCGGACATACATTCCTTTCAACAAACTAAAGATGTGTCTTCCCTTTAATTTTTTTGTGCTGTGATCACTAGGATTTTTAACTGACATTTACCTCTTACTCCAATTAAACAATTATTTTCGGCCTTGATTAGTTTCACTGGCTGATTCCAAGTTGGTTTACAAATGGGGAAACTTCTTAGCAAGCAAGTGCGTTGTTGAAGTGTATGATGATGCCATGGCTCAGTACGAGTACAAGGGGGCAAACCTAAGTTACAAGCATGGGAAATTTTCCTCTGGTACGTAACTTCGTTTTTAATATTATTGAGTGATTTCTCGCGCACTGATTGGTCAGGAGCTCTATACAGTGATGACGCAGAAATGACGTAGCTGTTTGTCCCTAGCTCTCTTCAAGTAATTTCCCAAGAAACTTCCAATCGCCAGAATTGGTCGCTGAAAAATTTTATTGCCAAGCATTGATTGTCACTTGGGTGCAACTCTTTAGTTTCCAAAGATGTACCTGCATTTGTTCAGTCATTAATTCAGCCATTAATGTCAAACAAGGGAGGATAGTTACCTTTTCTAATAATCCTGTCTTGTGTTCACGGCAAGGGGGTCCCCTACGGGACTTTTTATCCCATCTGCCGGAAGTCTAAAGTTCACACTAATTACTGATTATGTGCTTCTCATTCTATATGCAGGTGGTTTCTCAAACGTGTACGCTACATTTGTGTTTGACCGCCGTACGTCATATACCGTTCTTCAAGTGTTCCTCCCAAGTTATTTGATCGTTATTCTGTCATTCATGGCCCTTTGGCTACCACAAGATGCTGTGCCCGCCCGAGTGGCCCTTGGAATAACAACTGTGCTTACAATTGTTTATTTTCTTGGTAGGTCCGACTGTAGCATATCTTCCAACTGTCATCTCTGACTCGCTTAGCTCCCCGGAAACTCAAGAAGCCAGAAGAATCACCAACAAACTTTAAAAGTTCTATTATTACCTTCGGGAGAAATTCCTCTTTCATTACATCACGATTTCTTAATTCGCAACAATTCATAAAAAACACTTGCGTCCGTAGATTGTAAACATCATGTTTAGCCAAATTGGTACTGTGAGTAAACCTGTTTTCTCCCAGTGCTTTCTTCGCCTTTAAGATGGGTGGTAAAACGCTGCTGGGAACGAGGTTGAGATCTCATTTGGGTCTTTTGATGCACTTGTGGATACAATGTTGTAGTTCATTGTTAAGCTAAGTACCAGTAAATGTTTTTGTGCGTTAGTAACGCTGTACGCATACTCAACTAACTTTCTGCTTTCTGGCGTTTGAAAGGGAAGGGAAGAGGATAGGGAAGGGAAGGCATACCGTTACATGAAGAGCGCACCCTTCGTATACCAATCACCTTCTCAAGGACCTATTGCATTCTCGAGAACCCATGGTATTCTTGTGCCCTCATTGCATTTCCTTCCACTAAACGCATCCGTGCGCGCCCATTGCATTCTTGCCTACCAACTGAATTCTCGTGCGTCCTTTGCATTCTCATGTTCCCGTTGCATTCATGCATGTCCATTGTATTCCTATGTGCCCATTACATTCTTGTGCAATCATTGCATTCTCGTGCGCCCATTGCATTCTGGCGTGCCCTTTACATCCTTATACGCCTATTGCTTTTTCGTGCCCAATGCATTCTCGTGCACTCATTACATTCTCGTGCGCCCATTGCATTCTGGCGTGCCCTTTATATCCTTATACGCCTATTGCTTTTTCGTGCCCAATGCATTCTCGTGCACCCATTACATTCTCGTGCGCCCATTGCATTCTGACGTGCCCTTTACATCCTTATACGCCTATTGCTTTTTCGTGCCTAATACATTCTCGTGGACCCATTGCATTCTCATGCACCCAATTCACTCTAGTGCACCCATTGCATTCAGGTGTGCCCATCGCATTATAGCACCTCTATCGTATCCTAGTGTTCCCATTGCATCGCTTGTACAACAACTGCATTCCTGTGCACCGATTGCATTCTCACACGCCCATTGCATTCTCTCGCACCCACTGCATTCCCTTGCGCGTCCATTTTTTCACCTTCCCATCAAACACCTGCCACTCCCACTATTCATAATGTGACTATTTGTTTTCTACTGCAAATAGGAAGCGTCAACAGTAGAATGCCCCGTGTGTCTTACTTTAAGGCCATTGATTGCCACTTGTTCGTGTCCTTTGGTTTTGTGTTTTCCACCATGCTGGAGTATGTTATTCTCCTTAATACCAAGGGCAGGAATACAAGAAAGCCAGATAATCATGAGAAATGCGAGGTAAACAATCGTTAGGATGGTTTTAAAAATATACTTTAGTGGGGTTTTACATGGACAACCGGGACAAGTAATATCCTCCAGTTCCCTCAGGAAGTGAGTCTGTTTTATTATGAGTTGAAGAAAGGGTCATAGAAATCAAGAGACGAATAAAAGTTAGATGTTGCATTTGCTAAACACCTAACCTGAGAAAACAGCCGGCGTTTCGCGGCGCCACCCACCAATGATTTCCCTGGGTATGTCTTAGGAAGGAGCACAGAAATTTTATACTGATGACGTATTACTACCCACTGGATCTGGGTAGTGCTTCTGATCGGTGGAAGAAAATTTTTAACCAATCAAAAGCACAACCCATATGAGAGCAGTGACCGGCTTCATGAGTATGAATTTCCTGCGGTCGTTCCTCATACGTCATTTCACGGGGAAACCGTTGGTGGGGTCCTGAAATGTAGGCTGTTTTCTCAGGCTACTTAAACCACACCTAATTTCAGACCAAAACGGTTGATCTAAGAATCTAATCTAAAACTGACCCCCCCTGAACAACACAAATGCGATAGGGACACGTGTTAGGTGTTTCTGGTTAGATGGATGGATCTACTAGATCGCTAACGTGAATAAAAGTTGAAGGAGAGAGCGACCCTCTCACGCTAGTTGACTTATATTTCAATCTTAGCTTACATAATCTTCGTGGACCATCATATTATTTAATGAATTTTTTTTTGTATTTAAGACAATTAACAATTATCCACCTGAGTACCTGAGAGAACTATTTAGGTTAAGAGACAATATTAAAAACTTGAGAGCCCAGTGCTCGTTGGACTTTTTAGGGGTTAACAAGCTGCAAGTACCGAAACCTAATACGACTCGTTATGGCAAGAGCTCAGTAAAGTACTTGACGGCTATTACTTGGAACAAGATTTCTGATATCTTAAGATGCCTAAGCACATTGTCAGCTAAGGTTCTAGCTAATTCGATATAATATCTATGTTCTATAAAAATTAAGTAATAGTAGTTGGGCTTTTTATTGTAAATAGCTATATGTGACGCTATTTTAGGCTTTTATACTGTAAATAAGTTTTTGGATTTCCCTTTCTTTCTCTATTTTTCTATTTATTTGTTTTGTTTTCTTTGTTTTTTTTCCTCGGCTTAATAGCATATTTTTTGCTAGAGGTCTAACCAACCTCATCAAACCCGAGATTAAATAAAGCTTCATTCATTCATTCAATAACCTAACGTTACGATTTTTAACAGCTTGGCTTGTTGGACAACCATGTATCAGAGGATTCGTCGCGTAACAACTGTTATGGAACAGATGTAGTAGTACGTTACCCAGTTAAAAACGAAGAAGAAGATGAGGCTAATGGCTCAATCATGGCAGTTCAGCGGAGAAAAAAGACGTCACGTGACATTGTCCCAGTTCACTTAATAGACAGACTCTCCAGGGTTCTGTTTCCCGCTTCGTATGGAGTATTTGTGGTAGTTTTCTGGGTGGTCTGTGCAACACAGTCACCTCAAAAAGAGCAATTAGATCTTTGCTGAAGTCGTTGTTTGAGTGAACTATTTGACTCCTGACAATCGCTGTTGGGGAGAGGAGATTAGGAGGCATACGTCTGCGCTGTTTGGGAGAGGAGATTAGGAGGCATGCGCTTAGTGTCTCATATTTATTGTATTTGATAAGAGCAATAAAAAATTCAGAAGGAGTAAGCCGTTCTTGAGGATGGAAAAACCCAAGATGATCTTTAAATCATGTTAGTTAATTAATTGACATTCTTTGACTAGCAGTATTTCCAGAGAGGTGTGGGCTCTTCGCTCTAACGTTGAGCTAAAATTGGTATCAGGGCCTTGACACACTTAGTTTTGTTACCATGTGCATTTCCTTCCCAAAGAGATTGTTTGATTTGTACGGTAATGTCTCCTGTCCTTTGAATAGTGAATACATCACCAAGCGATGGCAATTTAAAACGGTTTAGTAACCTGCTGAGGACACGTCCTAAGGTAGGAACACTATAATGACGTGCCCTAACAAAATTGTAGCTTAAGGTGCCAAACTTCTCAAGACTCGACCAGAGTCGGCTCAAATACCCTATTACCATGCTTCAAAACTGGTAATTACCCAAGTTTGCGCCCCCCCTTATTTTTAGACCAAACTAAGGCCAGAAGGGCCCAAAAAAAAAACTTGTTTGAGACCGCCCCCCGCTTATGTAGGGGTCTGGATGACCGCCCACCCTCCCCCATCTGAAGGTCTTGCTCCTCCACTGTACTTTGTATTTCGCGGAGACACTAGAATTCTTACTGGACTCTATAAAAATTGTGATATTAAATTATATTTGCTTCGGCACTGAAATTCACAACAAAAGACGTACTTTTTGTCTTTTCTTTGTATCTCTTTGCTTCACGTGAGGCGCGGCTCTCATAAAATTCGGAAAAATATTAACCCCGGGGCCTTATATGGCTTAAAAACGAGGGGTCTATATACAAGTTGATGCTTGTAGGAGGAAATTTGCTTTTCTTTTCTCAACTCCCATATGAGGTGGTGGGAAATTTGTGTAGTTTGTTTATGCTTTATGCACGATCGACGTCGCAGTAGAAAGTTTAATTGAAAATAATTCATATATACTGACAGGAGGTTAAACGGTCCTTTACCTCGCCAGCTCAAGATGTACATGACAATCAAGCGCTTGAACACCAACATCTGGGCGTGTTTCGCTCAGTATGTTCCGATGCAGTATATGTTGATCTTGCGTTCAGTTAAGAACAATTCCCAAATATTGATCATGACCTCGGAGGTTCTTTTGCGTTTCGATTTTTGCGGGGGTCTTATATTCGGAGAACGGAAGCGTAGAAAGGAAACAAAAATGAAAGTTAATTAACGGTCGCTAATTTCTAAGTCTAGCTCGATTTCTCTCTTGACTCTGGCTCTCACTGAGTTTCAGTATCAAGGATTTTGAGACAACGTCGAAATGTAAGTTTTATTTTGTGAAAAATCCTGAAAAAATTGTTAAGTCACTTATACGTACTCAACTAATGCTAGACTAAAGCGTGCGCGTGCAAATGTGCAGAGCAGTTTCAATATCGCCATCTTAATAGAGAGGTTTGGAGTCACGTTTACGGCAAACGGCAAACCGCACTGGACTCAAGTTGAGAATTACTAAAAATAGAGAATGAACAGAGAAAAACGGTCTAAAAACAATTCTTATCGATGAAAATAACGAGAAGATAATTATTTTTTTTGTTGAAGTGAAGAACAGTTATAGACAAGTAAAAGGAAAACTGGCACGTATTTATATTATATTCCCGTTTGCCGTTTCCCTTGAACATGGCTCTAATCCTCTAATGTCTTAGTGATAGACACGAACGTTCTTGTTATCTTTGATTTGGTTTACTCTGGGGTGTAAAGGACAGATGCTCGACGAAAGCAGAGACTCAGAAAGAGGTAAATTCAACGATAACAGAACATGATTCAAAACTACAGATGGCATAAGTCAGAGAGTTGGCTAATTAACAAGCGCGGCTGAGGAGTTGAACTCGAGACACCTGACCAGGAGAAAAATCTAGCTAGTGGAAGGCTAGTGATCAGAGCGGGACTTGGCATGGAAATCTTCGGATTGCTAGTCCGACGCACTGACCACTCGGCCAAGTTTAAGTTCTCCTCTTTCTAGTCTCCACTTCCATCGGTGGTGCTGCCAAATTCCACGTCTTCTTCCTCTTGTATGCAAAGAGGATTTCGTTCCTGTACGTCGTCTTCAGCGTTATTAGGAAGCGTGTCATTGATACATGGCCGGGGTAGGGGTGGTCGGCGTTGGGGTGAGCGCTTGGCTCTTTTGAGTTTCCTTAAAGTTTGGTTTGGACTACATCTGAAGAAGTGATACAACTTTTGGTGTACTGCTAAGAATCCCGAATGGTACTTCCTGATCCATCCCTTGAAGCCACTTGGCGTGTCTGGAGCTAACGTAAAGAAACAGTTTCTGTGAATAACATTGAACACAAAGAGGGGGACGGTATACTGATTTGCAAACATAAAACAGAATCTGTGCTGCCACACTTATTTACATTAGACAGGAGTTACGTTCGTTACGAGTGTTCTCTAGTAGCACGATCTAAACTGCTTGGTCCCTAGTGGACCAGAATACCATTAACTGCACGTGTACAGGCTGTTTTTTCTTCCAGAAAGCCCCAGCTCCGCCTCCAAAAAGAATGATACATGATACATGATACTGAGTAGCCTCCCACGCAGGCGTTTTTTGGGGAGCTCGTTTTTCATCCTTCCCCAAGGAAGGATGAAAAACGAGCTCCCCTAAAAACGCCTGCGCCTGCGTGGGAGGCTAGATACTGAGGCGATTAAGTAAAAGTTTTTATACAAAGTATTCTTATGAAACTAACCTAATGAAAGAGCTAAACGCCTGAAACAGAAGCCATGGCTGTGACCTTTGATGACATCACGGAAGGTAGTCAGTGAAAGAATCGGACTGTTTTGTCGAACAGCTGATATTTCTGAGAGGTCTTTCACCTCTTGTGAGCCAGTCTTGAGTTTTTGATCAAATGGCGCAGAATTGATAAGTATAGCCCCCAAAGCAAAGCATAACAAACTTGAAATAAGATGCATCTATGGAGAAAAAAAAATCAGTTTATCGATAAGGACTGAATAGACCTAAACTTTTTCGGTCATCACAGGCCTGGTTTTCCTATCTTGCACTAGAATGACTATTTGGGGATAAAAGAGAAGAAAAACAAACTTAGCTGCCCGTGGGATGTTGTCTCGGATGTTGTATTTCCTAAAATATGATAAAACTCTAGGCACCTTCTTAAAACTATCCTTGAATAGGAGATAGTAAGTAGAACAGTTTACTAACTCTGCAAGTTTTCTTGCTGAAACTGAGTTAAAAGAGTTCTCTCCTATGTTGATGGCTGTGAAGTCATTGAAAGTTCAAAAAATCTTTAAGGTTAAAAACAAGAGCCTTGCTCTTTAAGGAAGTGAATGGAAGTACCTTAAAGCACGCATTCGCTTATCATTATTAGTTTGCAAAGGGAATTAGGCTCTCATTAGGGAGTAACTGGTAGCTGTTAACATATAGGAAGGCATATACACCGTGAGTTTATTGTTGTTTTCAAGGCCAATGCATATGTTGCAAACTCAATTACAAAACAAACGAACAAAAACAAACAAAATATATCAACATAAGGAGAGGCTTAGGTTTGCACGTGATAGAAGGCGTGGTTTTTCGTCGAGGAGTCTAAAATTTGTAAATAAAAGGAATATAGTGATGCATCGTGGTTTAAATGGTCGATACAGGAGTTTTTTTCTTCTTCATTCAACAAATCAACTAATAGACGGCAGTACTGAGTCAACTGAGTAATTGAGAGAAACACTAAGTAAGCAAAACCTTAATCTGAATCATTCGGAAGAGAGGGTGCCGGAAAACTGATTGTTAACATCATCATAGTAGTGCACATTTCCCCGACATACTGGTAAAAAGGCATCGTGAGAAATGCTTTGTCAGCAAGAGAACCGTTGCACGCAACACTTCCCAATGAGCACTTATGATTAAGTTTGAAAATCATGCATATATACTTGTTCTTCTTGTCTTGTTTGTTTTGTTTACTTGTTTCCACCATTTTGGTGGGTCAATTTTGATGTGAGTGTTTCTTAAGTGCCTGAAGTGTAAGACGTAAATATGATCTACACTGAAGTGGAAATAAGCCGTATTAGGTAATTGAAGGTAATAAGCACTCTATTTATGCAACAGAGTGTAATATTGTTGTTCTGTCTTAAACGACAATATTGCACGCAGACAATTCTTGTCGATCAGCTTTTATTACCTTCATTGTTTTCATAAATGAATTACTTAGCATTAAAGGAGCTCCCTTTGTTCAGTTTTTCACGCTTGCTTTGGAATCACCGAACATTCATTTTTCTTGACGAGTGACTTGAGGGGCTCTTATGTATTGGCAAAGAATTAGCTTTACTTCTGCAACTAAAGCAGGATATCAATAATTTTTCCAAAGAGTTTTTGCTTGATATCAATGCACTCTGAGGTTCACCTTTTCAAAAGAACGGAAAAGAAGCATTTGCTAGGTATAGCCATTAATTAGTTATAGGTCAACCAGTTGAATTAGAGTTTTATAGCTGTCTTCATAATGTACCCAAACGCCCTAGCGAATAGCATTTCAGTTCCTTTGTTCTGATTTGTACTAAGCATCAATGAAATAAACAGAGTTCCACTGGTTATCAACGGGCACAGAAGAACAATTTTTTTTCTGGTAACGCATCAATAGAGTGGTCGATTGTCTGCCATGATAATTGGATAGTTTTTGTAGAGGGTGGAAAACCCAGAAATAGGCCTTCCAGAATTTACTCGCATACATAGCTGTCAGTTTAGGGACGTTCGTTTCGTGTGTCGAGTATAATCTCAAAATATGACTATTGATCTCTTAATGTCATTCCTATCTTTTAAAAATTTGCAGCAGACGTTGTTTTTGTTCCTTTTTTTAAAGCTTTTTTTTTCTGAGTTCAAGTCACTAACAGGGAATACTTTTAAGTGTGGTTCCTCTCGAGCTCCCTCACGGGCTTGGAAAACAAGGGTAGGCTAGTTCAGTGTTTTGCTCGTATATCATTATAAGAAAACAAATAACAAAAAAGCAATTCCGATAAGCTAAATGGTACTTTGAAAAGTCAATCAAAGGAAAATAATATTCATTTAAAAGTAAAGTACAAACAAAAGAGCCCTGTTTTATGTGGAGTTGTTTTTCAAAAGGTTTCTGGCCAGGGGCCCGTTTCTCGAAAGTCCCGGTAACTTTTCGGGCCCGAAATCAAATATTCAAATCGAAACATAAAGAATAAGAGCGCGGGTCCTGGCAGGCAAACTACTCCATTTTGTTTCATTAACTGACAGTTTTATCATGTTAGATGCCAAACTATTGAAACCTCGATCTTTAATGTAAACGGAGACAGCTTACCGGGCCCGTTAATTATCGGGACTTTCGAGAAACGAGCCCCAGGCCCTACATGCAGTGAAATATAATGATGAGATGACCGCGTGTCTAAAAATTACCGCGACTGTACTTTATTCTTTTGTAAGGTTATAAAAATTCCAAAACGAAAACGTATTATCACAAAAAAATTAGTTCTACTGCGAGCAACGTACCTCGAATTTCGCCGATAACACCTTAATTCAGCAGCTGAAGACTTGCTGTGAGCTAGATGATTCTTCTAGGCTGTTAAAAGATGATATGACTTACGTATGAAGCTTGTTGGTTATATCTTAAAAACAAAGGGCCTCTACAAATTCATCGTTTTTTATAGTCATTATCTTCTCATGATCCAGTATCACAAATACGTGACGATATGGAATTTATTTGCTAACGGAAGATATACAGAAATAATTTGCCTAACCTAAGCATGACGTGCTTAAATATTTAAGGGTGAAAGATTGGAAAAGAACACATTCAATACACTGTGAAACTGTTTTACTTTTGTTTAAGCCACATCATCAGTTTACTTTTGTTCAAATTGCATCTTGAAAAAGAAAGTACATTTTCTCTGTAAGATTTCGTCATTTGCGTTTCATTCCAACAGATCAGCTTATGCTGACCCAGCTAAAAAGTAATAGTACTTGGGGAAGCATTATGTCATTACAAAACTGATGGCCAAGCATGGAAAATCAGCATAAGGTTCTAGGAAACTACCCATATACCCCTCCCTAACAGAATATTTTGCCCTAAGAAAGTACTTAGTGTAGACTTTCGGTTAGGGGAGGGGTAGGTAAGTGGCTTCCTAGAAATCTTATACTGATTCATCACGCTTTCAAATTAACGTCTATATTGCGTTAAAAAATATCGTTAAAGTAACTTTAGAAAATTGGCGATTAATTAACGAAGCCGACAACGGAACATGCAAAGTCACCGCTAGAACGCGCTTTTCTCGTCACAACGAAGAAAACCGGAAGGCAACGAAGCGCAGTTTTTAACCTTTGTCAATAACATCACCATTAAGATAAAAATAAAGACGCTATGACGTGTACTTTAAGGTTTTCCGTAGCAGTGCAAACCTAAAGAAAACTCAAATCCTTCTGAAGTTGATGGCACTAGTGCGCGACTGGAATGGACTAAAGGGCTAGCATTGTTAGTATAGCCTGCGAACCGCAGACATATTTCCAGTAGTCGCTTCTCTCCCTCCGAAAAATAACGTGACGGTTTTTCTCGCTGGGTGAAACTAGAAACTAAAGCCGAAAAAACCGGATGCTCTCGCAGGCTATGTTAAGCAGGAGGCTGGGTTTGAAAAGCATTTCTGTAGAACCATAGTTCTGTAGTGAAATAATGAAGTAAGTTCTGTCAGAATCACTTCTACTCAGAACCTGTTTCCATAGTCAACCGCAGCGTCATCGCAGGGGACAAAGCATTTATTAAGGAGCAGTCAATATCAACCATATTTACGTTCGGGACAGTCCAATATAATACTCTACCGCTATGATAACCCAAAAACTCAATATTTACTAGCAACTTCAAAATCGGTTAGGACAATAACAGTGCAATAAAGCCGCTTATCGACCCAAAGTCGTTACCATTTTTGCAGGCAATGATGGTTGAGGTGATAAAAAGAGAAAAGAAAAGAAAAGAAAGAAAGAAAGAAAGAAAGAAAGAAAGAAACACTGACATTTTGGTTAAATACGAGCAGCAAAACATTAGAATTAATCGAATAAACGACAACCAAAAATGAATTTCTCTGATAATAGAAGCAAAGTTATGTAGGGACCAAAGACGGTGTTTGCTACACTGATCAACAAATTAAGAAAAGAAATCAAAATGTCGGCGTTATATTATTATATCTGTTATTATTAAGAGGAGGAAATGGCTGATGATTTCTAGTCATATGTTTTAGCAAGTGTATCCCAGTGAGTTCTTGAAAACGTTGGCCACAAATACTGTTAATTATTTGCGTAACCACTTTCTGGCAGCCTGCGTAGCCGGTTTTTCGTTAGTGCGAGCAAAGAATTGGCAGAGGAGCTGCGAATCCGTGCGAAGGATGGGGATATGGAAATATCGGCAATATTCACGCTAAAATAGGATAGATGGTGACAAGTGAAGCTCATTAAAGACTTGAAGGAAAAAGTAAATAAAAGATATTGGTGAATCCAGATTTACATGAAGCTCCAACCAAACTGGAATTTAAAGAATATTGTGGTATTTTTCTCCCCTTCGAATTATAAAAATCGATACTTGTCTCCGAGTTTGAGGGATATAAAGAAGAGAGAGAAAAAGAAAGCTTTTTATCGGTAACGAATAATTCATTCCTGTTGTTTTATTTCGCTCAGCCTCGGAGTCAAGCTTGTATTTAACAACTGATTCGAAGTGAAATGTCCTATTCGTAGCGCGAGGTGCTTTTAATTTTTTTAATTTAATTTTTTTTCCATGAGAACATGCGGCTCAGTAATCGACGATAACTCCCGGCCAGATTTGACTTTTTGCCAGTATTATTATTATATTAGAGATCTATAGATAATAGCATGATTTGTAGTGATATTAGGCATAAATACCACAAGTGATATTTATTAAATACGTAATTTCACGAGTCGTTAGGCAAGTGCAATTTGAGACAATTTTGAAATATCACGACTGGTATTTATGCCAAATATCACTTCCAAATCATGCTATTATTTGTTTATACTGCTACCAGCAAAAGGTTTGTAATTTGCGCTTGTAGGTATTTCAAAGTAAGCTGAAATACCACTACTTTAAGCCAATCAAATTGCAGAAATTTCGCATGTAGTAGTATAATTATTATCACTAGTTGTAGTAGTAGTATATGTTATAGGACTGTATGCTGTCCAATTTGAAAATAATTGGATGAAAAAAATTCCAAGAACAGCCAAAATTGACAGGAGGTAGTATTAATCCACGAACGGGGTGCCGCGTAAGATATTCTCACGCTTAGGTTGCTTTTAAAACTGATGGAATCACATATGCAACAATTCAATTCACTTTAACGTATTTTTATTACATTTTCAAAGGGCACAATATGTTAATTGTTCCAATGCCGAACTTGTCCTGCGAAAAAGTTTGGTAACCGAAATCCTTTTACGGTCAGCTACCATTCCTCAGGTCCATTGATCTTAAATTTATGATGAATTTCATTCACGGTGTCTTCCTGAGATTCCATGTCTGATTCACCTGATCCCGAAACTTCGTTTTCTCCTTCCTCTTTCGGCTTTTCCTCCTCATTGGAGCTGTTTTCTTCTTTTTTCTCCTCTGTTGTTTCTTTATTTTCCTCTTCCTTCTCTTTATTTTCTTCGTTCTCTTCTTTGCCTCCCTGGAGGATTTCGATTAGCTCCAGTATAACGTCAAGTGGATTCTTGCTTTCTTTAATTCCTTCAAGGATCTTTTTTATAAAGGGCAGTCTTGAGAGAATAAGACAAACAATTCTTGATAACACGAATCAAAAGAAAAACCGCAGTTTTTAAAATAACGGATTGTCAGGAGCTACGTGCAAACGGACGCAGCAACTCACAAAGTTGGGAGAAATGTTGCGTCCGTTTGCGCCGAGCTCACCTTCAAAGTGGATGGCCATCGGATAAATAATTAAAAATAGTTTTATAAGCAACTCTTTGGCGCAGAGTGAACAGGTGTTTATAAATATGAAAAGCTAGCTGGTTAAAGGCATATATATGCAGCACGTACTTACACATGTGTGCCATTATGTACCATATACTTACAGGTATTTTTTGAAAGGGATATGTTTTAAAACTGACTTTATGGTTTCCATTACATCCTCCTGTTCAGGTATTTCGGTGAGTGCGGTGATATCTTCTTGGGTTAAACAATCAAGCATCGCTGGAACTTGTGATGGATAGCAACCTTAAACAGATTTAATCCAGACAAAGGGATGAGAATTAGGAGCATTTACACAAAACGCGAGTTTAATTATTCCCTAATTTCCCTCGTCACTTTTTGATAACACACACTAACTGCATGAATAAATAAATAAAATGATTTGAAGGAAGCACATCGGCAAAGCGGTCCTTCGTCTACCTGATTCCTGGTCGAATTGGAATTTGGAAATGTTGGTTTTTGAGGAGAGGGAAAAACCGGAGTAACCGGAGGAAAACCTCTCGGAGCAAAGGAGAGAACCAACAACAAACTCAACCTACATATTGCATCGAAGCCAGGATTTGAAACCGGGCCAACTTGGTGGGAGGCGAGTGCTCTCACCACTACGCCATCCCTTGCTCCCCATAAATAACCATAAAGGTGTGGCGACAGTAAGAAAATGAAATTCCTCGAGTAAACCACTTGATTACCTATTTTAATATCATGAATGACAAATTACTATCACAATCGTATGACCTTGTAGGTTTTTGACAGATCGAGAGCCCACGCACTGAAAACTAGAGGGTAAATTGGCCATGACATGTTCATTCATAACATTTTAAGATTTTGCCGCCATCTTGTCACTGGCAGTTGCGGGACGTTGCCCGCATGGCAATTTTGTAATTTCACATGTGAAAGCTTGTGAAATTATAAATTAGTATAGGTAATAGCATGATTTGTAGTGATATTTGCTATAAATACCACGAGTGATATTTCGAAATTGTTATACGTAATTTCACGAGCCGTTACCCGCAAAGGCTTTGTAATTTTCACAGGTAGGTATTTCAAATTAAGCTGAAATACCACTGCTCTAAGCTAATCAAATTCCAGAAATTTCTCATGTTGTAGTATAAACACTAAAATTTCGAGCCAATTTGTCACCCATGAAATTACTGTAGGTACATAGTCTTACTAGATCTTACTTTCTTTCTGTTGCAATGACTCCACTGTTCGGGGCGCTGATCGGCCGGACCACACATAACCGGTTGGCCTTCTTTAATTATTATATTACGTTTTTCTGCACTTACCTGTTTCTACAGCCAATGCCATCAAAAAGATCACGAGAATTATTCCCTGCTTAGCATCCATCTGGTTTGCGAGTAGAAAAAATAATTAAGATAATTTTTAAGTTATCTTAACCGTTTTGTGGCCCAAACTGAAGTAAATGTCATCCAGGCCGCATTAGGATTCCTGCTGGGTTTTTTTATCACTTCGATTAAAGAATAAGAAAAGAATTTAGCCTTAGTACTTCTAAAAGATCGTGTTTTTATATTATAAACCCCGCTGTTGATAACCGGTGGCCTTTGTGAGCTACTTACAATAATTGTCAGTCCCCGGGGGGGAGGGGGAGGGAGCACTCGAGGAACGTTTGAGTAGAGGTGACAGGTGTGCTGCCAATTCCTTAATTCAGACCTTGTTCATTTCACTACTCCGTTTAAGACTGATCGAAAGACGTTATTTATAACCCTGATTCATTTTCTTTTCCAAAAAATCAGTGTTCTATGCCAGGGGCGTTGCCAGCCCATAGACCTGTAGGCCCAGGGCTGCAAATTTTTGGTTTGATTACTCTACTGCTTGTAATAAATTATGCGTTGTTGGGGTGAGCTGAAAGAGCTTAAGAGCTCAAAGCGTTGATGAGGACAGTGCGTACTAGTCATGAGTGCAATTTTCAGGATATGTGGAAATGAAAGTCAGCCAGGACTACAACTAGTCGAAAAGCTGGCTAGGCCGCTGCATGTTACCACAAATGCGGACTGATCATTGCCAGGCTTCACACTTTTATAAGGCTTTTGGTTCAAAGAGACACCCATTTAAAGACGCTTAATAGTAAAATTGGATACCCTGTTTAAAGACTTAACTTACCCTCAAAAAAATACCCTGTTCAGCCGCATAAATTGAACCGTTTGGGCCGAATAGGGAGTCCCCCCGCCCTCCACAGCTCGCTTCTCCGGGTCAGTTCATAATCGGGGATCCGGAACTATTGACCTGTAAAAGACCCTCTAGTTACGTGTGACCCTGAATTATTTCAAAACAATTTTACACCTGTTCCAATACCTGCTCTTGTTAATTTCAAAACGACACAAAGTTTCATTCAAGTGTAACAGAGGCCAGGTTGTTTTAACTTTACTCGTTTAAAATATAGCAAAAAGTAAATCATTCGATTACCTACTGACAATATTTCATTTCAGTTTCAAACAGTATCTGATGTTAGTTCAATTTATTAATATATACCTAAAAGCGAGTTTAAAAATGATTTGAAAGAATTTTAAAATACAAAGGGCTTTGTCGGTAGAAATCTTAAATTGTGAGAGTTGCGGTGTGCTAAGTATGCCACTATATTTTTAGTCATTAAGTAGTCCACCTTTTATTTTGCGGAATTCTGCTTATTCTGATAAGAAATGTTGTCTAAATTACAACTTACTGTAACTAAGATGAACAAATTAAAAAATTGAAATATAAGGTGTTTTCCAGAGACATCAGTGAACCAAAAGGTTTACATAACTGTTTAGTTGTTGGCTAAACATTTTTCCCGAAACTATAAACAAAGTACTGGGTTTTGGGATAGAAAATTTCTACCCTACAGTTTATGTTAAAATCAATTTCCTATACCTTATCATACAATATAACTATATATGAGGTGACATTAATTACTTTCGTGGTTTAAACTTACCGTTACTGAAAAGGTCAATTTCGCCTGTCAGTTTCCGCGAGATGAGAGAATCTAATGAATCATAAATCTCCAAGAATCCTTTAAAAAAACTCTTTTCAGTTATAATTTATTAATAGCTTGGTTACCCGTGTTTAAACGAGGCCAATGCTGATTGGTTTTTGTGCGGCCTATTCGCGCACCCTGAAAAGGAAATTGTACCTTTTGTTCCTCTCTGAAATCAGCGTTGGCTAAAAACTACTACCTAAGAAAAGATATGAAATTCCTAGCTATTACCTACTAGGTTGGCTCGGTCTTCTTACTTGGGTGGCTCGATGCGCCCACCTCTCCGCCTTACTGGCTGGTCGCACAGGAGCGGGACCCATCGACTGCTAGTACGTGATCACCATGATCAAAATGACACAAGAAGATCATTTAAAACTAGAAATACGTGAATCGCAGAGCCTCGCAAAGCCGAGGCTAAGAGGCAGAAGTAGAAAGAAAGGGAAAGAAGCCAATAGGGACCGAGATAATATCATTAAAAAAAAGCAGACAAAACAAATAAGCAAACATGACAAATATAGTTCTGTGTTGTCTCTGAGTCCCGGGGGGGGTACTTTAGAAATTTCTGGGTGGGGATGCGCCGCTTGGACCCTGGAACCCTTAACCTATAACAGAGCTAGCTCAGCTGAAGTTTGCTATCCTGTACTAGAGTAAACTCTCCAAATCCCCCCTATCCTAGAGCAGCTGTTTTCCAGAAACTACCGAGGTCACTAAAAATCTTCAACCAACTGATCAGTTTCCTGAAAAATGATATCCCATTCTAGACCCAAACGCTCTGATTCATATACCCTACTGTTAGAGTAAACAGCTTGAAAACCATACCCTTCACAGCGGCACATACCTATATAGCCCATATATGGCAGTATCCCCCCCGGGCTCTGAGTGTTTGTTGGTGTTGCTGGTTAGCTATTATGTTGTGGTGTTGGGTATTGTTCAGTGTCTTTTTCAATTTTTGTATTACGTCATATGATGAACGCACTCGTCCAAAACACTGAGAAACTATCAACTTCTTAGGGCCTGTTTACATGGAGTGGGGGACCCCGGTCTAGTGGAGTTGGTTTCTTTTGTTTTCACGCTCTGAGGGACACAAAACAAAAGAAACCTACCCCACTAAACCGGGGTCCCCCACTCCATGTAAACAGGGTCTTATTCAATAGACTGCAAAACAGTCGTTTTTTCCTCAAAATCAGTAAAGAAATCGGTAAAGCGTGGCGTAAGAGTCTTACGCGCGCGAACCGCGCGAGCCTCACACGCCGGTAGGGCCTTTTCAGTCTCGTTCCACACCTTTTGTTTGACTGCTCGCGTGTACTTGAATACGCAAAAATACGGACTGTTTTGCAGTCTACTTATTCAAGAGGTCATCAACCTATTCTTTGTCCATTCTTAAAATACCGTGAATGTCCGAATGGGCGTCCTCCTTCAAATAAGCCCCTCAAGATTAACCCTTCAGCAAGAAAAATCACGGCGTAGAAGCGAAGGTAGAATACAAGGATTTTAGAACCAGAACTTAAAGAGCCCTGTGTAACTTATATTGGTTTTCCAATGTCAAACTTTAACAACAAAAGTAGAGTATTCAGACTGGGTTTTGCAAGTGGATTCAGGATTCTAGGTACTAGCTTCCAGTCTTGTCAGTGGAACTTGGGTTCTGGATTCCAACCGCTAGCTAAATACATGTAGAGTTAAACAAGATCAACTGAGAATAGGATCTGTCATACAACACTATTTCAGCTACAGTGAAAACTCGCGACTTATAGATCGGCATTTTCCCAAGTTAGCCTAAACAGGTTCTTGAAATGGCAATTAGCACGAATTTAGGCTGTGTATTAGGTTCTTAAATAGGTTCTTATTTTCTGAGAAAAAAAAACCTTAAAGCTAAGAGTATTTAGTGGTATATTCAGTGTATTCCTTATATACAAAGTCGACTGCATACCATTACATTGCAGTTGGACACCCGTGTCTCCAAAGAGGATTCTGAATGTTAACTTGTCTTATTTGCCCAAATCGGGAGCCCATAACCCTCCTGCACAAGTGTACGGAATTTTTTTTATTGATTAAAGAAAATAAGACCCTGTTTTAGTTTAAGTTTAGTAAGGTTCTTGCACAAGGGGGGGTTAACTGGCAAATTTAAGTCTAACAGGTTCTTACAGGCTCCTGGTTCTTAAAAACCAGTTTCTTTCTCGCGGGTTTTTACTGTATATTCTCAAACTCATTAATAATTCATAAAGAAACTTCAAAGGAAATAAAAGTTTAATGAGTGTTTGGAAATCAGATGAAAGACTGCCTTTTTGCATCCTTAATTTCTCCTTCTAAAATCATTTTGTTTGACAAGTAATATCAAGCATTCGACACAGTGTTTTTCATCACCAGATGAAACACTTCGAAGTTCGTCAAAAATACTCCGCTGCTCAGCTCTCTTCTCAGTGTTTCATCTGGTGATGATGAAACACTGCGTCTCACGCTTGAAATATTACTTAAAACATCATTATGGCTTGAGCTCATCAGCATGGTGTAACCCTAAGGTATTCATGGCCGTCAATACCCTCGTGACATAGCTTTGTGCGTAAGTCAAGAGCATGATGCACTATGTGATTTTGTTGTCAGTGTTGTACTGTGCTTCTTTTCAGGACCTAGCCCGCATGGCCTGCGGGATCGTTAGCGCGAGTAAAGTTTTGGAAAAGGGGGTGCAAAGCCGTGCGGAGAATGGGTAGGAGACGCTTTGTTTATCGCGCCTTCGGCGCTCGCTTCTAGCATGGCAGCCGTCAAAACTCTCACTCGCGCAATAGCTATTCTGCCAGTAACGCAGGCTATCCAAGACCCCCTCCCTTCATACCTAGCCTGAGATGAAACATGTGGCTGCACACACATTTTCCTTTAACACTGTGACCTCCAAAACATGCCAAAAGCTTTTCTGGTCATTTTTATAACATAGCCGTAAAATAAGCACGCGCTCAAAGAAGTACGCGTCAATTTTTACGCGATTATATTTTATTTTCACCCCATAGTTTGCAAAGGGTTTCATCAGTGGTACTGAGAGAAAGCGCACAAGATTCTACAGTTAAATTCACATTGAGACGAAAACCTTCTTTGTATGCGAAAAGAATTGTTCAAGGTGGAATAGACTGCAAAGAATGATTTGTACACGCTACAGCGCGCGTAGATGACTCACGTTATTTTCGTACGTCTATGTGTTAGTAAATTTCAACAAATCTTAAAGGTCTGAAAGGTTTTTCTCTTCCGATTATGTTGCAACGCAAACTCCTTAGAAACCCCTGCGTGCATCCATAACTTATAAATTCATGGCTAGCCGTTAACATTTTTAAGTACACACTGCTGATTTAAAGGTCGTTTATTACACGAAACGTAATAGGTATTGATATTT